ACCCCCTTCGACGATGCTTTTCGATGACGACCCGGGCATCATGTCCGAAGTGGAGACTTCTAGCACGGGATTTCGGCGAGGAGGCAAGCAAAGAAGTAGCCTGCCCGTCGTACGAACGCCCAGCAAGACTTTGGAGCGACCACTAGGTAATATGTAATATATGTTGAACATCAAATAATATTCTCTAAATCTGAATCGGTGGATAATTACTTATACCAGTCTTAAATATGCCATTAGTTTCAGTACATGAAACAAATGCATTTCTGTATCTTTTAGGACTGGTGTTCCTGCAATATAGGAACGAGACGAAGAGAGCATTGCTGCCGAACGAGATTACCAGTATAGACACCGTCAAGGCTCTTTTCGTCAGAAGCTTTCCGAAACAACTCACTATGGAATACCTGGACAGTCCTCACGTAAAAGTTTACATACACGATAGCAACAAGGATATGTTCTACGAACTCGAAGATCTAAGGTAATTTTTATGCCATATTATAAATATATTCTGCTAAATTTCACCTTTTATTCTCAAATGGTCGAACGATATTTCGAAGAACGTAATCCATTGTTAAATATATTTTGCTTTGCAAACAATTTAAACAATTATTTTTTATTTATTACAAAATCTATTAGAAACATTCGCCATTGCCGATGTTTTAGAAGCTTTGCATAGAGTTGTTTAATTCCAATTTATTTAATTTCCGTTATGATAATATACGGAAAGAACGTATTTGTTTCAATGGTGAATTTTAATAAAGGGAACAATGATTGCGTTGCAGCGCAACATAAAAGTGATCGTTTTGGTTTTTAGATCACACCTGAGAGATATTAGGGATCGCAGTGTCCTGAGACTTTTCGAGAGTGCCGATGGAGTGACGGGGATGCCGGGGCCCCTGGGGGTGCCGGGTGGCGGTGGCGGTCTGCCTCCCCATTGGGAAGATCAGAGCTACTTCAGCGAACCAGAATTCGACAGTGAATATCAGCATCAGCACATTCACAAGAGCAAGGTAAGTGCGAGTTAACGAGCCATCCTTAGTTTGTCGCTTTTATCCTCCTTCACAATTTTTACGTAATATAGTCTGCGTTATAACGCAATATTACATTGAAAAGATATCCTCTTCAGCTCATCATGCAAAATAGGATTACCAAAATTTGATAATTATATCTAATTGTAAGTATATGACTTACTCGAGGGAGCTACAATGGAATATTCTTTGTAAATTGGACGTATAAGAGAATATTATAGAATATATTGAAAATATTTATTTTATTAGAAGGACAATTTCTTTCGTTTAATTTTGCATTTTACGTATATCATATCTTGGTGTCTATAAAAAGAACATATTTTGTATTGCATTCGGAGAAATATAAGTATAGAGGTCATTATAAGATATTCTTTTTATTTGAAAAAATAAATAATTCGTACTTTTTTATGCACTTTATAAAGAACGTACTTTAATTATGCCCGGAAAGGTATAAAGAACATCATAAGATATTCTTTTTTATTGGAGAATGAATAATAAATTGTATTCTAATCTGAACGGTCGAATCAACTGACAAAGATACAACTTTTTTTTTTAAAGAAAGTACCGCGTGTTTATAGAAATATTTTTTAAGATTTGTTAATTAGAAGAGAGTATTACGTATAGAATATGTATTGTCAATGATATTAGGCGATGTACTGTTTTGTGTTAGAAAATTTTTAAGGAATGAAAGAATATAATGCAATGGTTCATAAAAGTTTATTCGGCATACATCACATATACACAAAATACATATATATCACTAGGGCTAAGTCTTGAGCTTAAGCAACTGAGGCATACGTTACTGATCGATCAAGGCGATTTCCGTCGCGCAGTTAAGTTTCCCTTCTCGCCGAGGTCAATCGATCAGCACACACCTTAAAATCGCGACGAGTATTTTGTTAAAAGCGATCGTTGTTATTCCTGATCAGTTTTTCGAACTTACAATATAATACTGTCCTTCTACAACATCAACCGTCCTTCACTCCATTAATAAACATTTTTTTAATTAATAAAATTCTATCTTTGTGTACGAATTACTGCGACATTCAGCGCATATTTTTGTTGGAGAAACTTTCAGCTATTTTTACAAATCGGAAGTTTTCCTAAGAGTGCACAAATAATCTTATTAGGATTCTAATATCTTTAAATAAGATTTCACAAGATTTTTATAAGTTAATTATTAATTTCTGCTAATGAGAGTGGCGACTGTTTCTTGTCACAATTGACCTCGTAGTACTCGCCCTCACAGTACTGGAAGCTTCAGACTTAATTGTCATACAGTTAATCGGTCAGAAATTGCAAATAAATATGATCGGCAAGATGTTTTGTCAAGCGCAATTTTTTGTATGGCAATATTACTCGCATCTTCGAATATATTCGTAATATTTACGAAGATACAAATAAATATTTTGCTACATTTTGCTAAGCACGAAAAAAGAAAAGACCCGATGGACAACGGGGAGAAAGATTGCGTGACAAACATCTTCGCCCGTAACAACTAAAGATACTCAGCGATCTAAAACATGGCGTGGGACACCTGGGAACATTTTGTTCTCGAGAGATCGTCGATCTTTCGTCGACCGTGATGTCGAGGGTTCGCCTGGTTTTCGGCGCGATGCTTTAAAAAATATCGGTGTAGATTTAACATCATGCGGTGCTTCTATAATTCTTACTGTGTTGATATTAACATTATCACTAACATGAATGTGAATTTAATGGAATTTAATAACCGTGGGTTTTAAATCCAACACCGTGATGGTGTTGGTATAAACAGTAGAGGTGTAATTCACTACGTTTGTGTTAATATTAACACGGTGAGAATTGTGTGGACACATCATATGATGTTAAATTTACCTCGATATTTTTTAGAATGGAGTCTTCCGGGTGGCTTGATAAATTCCGCGAAAATTTACACGACGTCCCGTAATATCGTCTTCGCGCGCGATTTGCCGCGTCGTCTCGTCGGTTGATTAGAATGCTTTACACGCCGGTACAGCTGGCAAGTATAACGCGCCGGAATAAAGTTTCTTGGGCACTGATCTCCAGCCTATAACCAACGCTTTCCCGAACGGCTCATCGGCGCATCCGTCGCAGAGATCCATCACATATCTGACCTCGGCTTCAGCGGGTTCCCGTACGTTTTCCTCCTCGTCCTCCTCGTTTGTTCCCTTCGTCAACTGGAGTCCATAATCCGTCAATCCCGCGAAATAATCATCGTCCAAGTTTTGAGGAATGGAGTAGCCATCATTGAAGATTGATCCGTCGCCTAATTGCAACAGTCCTCTCTTCTTCTTTTCGGCGTCGCGTTTCCCTAATGTTTTATTGTTCGCGACCTCCGTTCTTGGCACGAAAGATACCTGAGAATTCGACAAACGTGAGACACATGAAGCGTAACGCGCTATTAGTTGAGCAAATAGAAATTTATGCATAGAGTATATATTGTTTGCTCCTTTTGTTCATTTTATGTAGAAACGCAAAAGAAAAAAGTTAGACTTGTTTCCTGAAGCGATTTTCAGCGAAGGTTTCTTAGGAGAAATTGTATATTTAAAAAATCAGTTTATTACAGGTAAAGCCAAAGTAATGTGAAATTGTCAGAATGTTTTGAATTGAAATTTACTGGAAAGAGTGCGAGAGAGTTACTCGGCGTGAAACAGATATTTTTGAAGCGATACAATGAAAAATCTTAGGATCCTGGTGCAGGCAAGTCAAATGCATTCGCCGAGAAATTATTTCCACTCTGATTCTCCGAAAGTCTTTTAATTTCTTACGTTAAATAGATCGGAAACTGCTAGGTCGAAACTTACGGTTTAACATTTGCTGAGAAAAATTATTCCCGGATTATTTCACGAACGAGTATTGATGTTTAAAGTATTAAAATTGTCTAGTTAAAACGAACAGGATTGTTTTGCGAGTTGAGGTAATACCGGGGAAATGAAATGTATATAAACGAAAAATATGAGATAGATAAAAAGATAAGGACTTTGGAAGATGTTCCATTGACATATCTACTCTTATATAGATAAAAACAGATACGGACATGCGAAAGAAATTCCAATTTAACGCCTGATTCTGTAATCCTTAATGATGAAATTATTGAATAATTGTTGTTTGTAAAGAACTTTTCTTATTCCATAGCAAAAAGTAGTGATAAAATTGCCCTAGCTAGAAAGATGTTGTTGAGTTTAGGACAATTTTATCGTTATTTTTTGTTACAGAATAAGTAAGTTCTTTATTAACGACAATCATTCAGTAATAACAGAACTTTAGTACAAAACTTCTCTTATTTCGTGACAAAAAGTAGTAGATAAAATTGTCCTAAACTCAATAACATTTCCTTACTGTAGGACACTTTTATTGCTACTTTTTTTTACAGAATAAGTATCTAAGTCCTTTATTACAATCATTCAATAATAACATCATTAAAGCCCGTTTTCACAATATATGATTGCTTAAAAGTTAGCAAAAGAATCATGAATGAATTTCATTGATAAATCTTTTGGTAATCTTTAATCTTTAGGTAACCTAATCATATATTGTGAAAACAGACTTAAGGCTTGCAGAGAAGTATTCTAAATTCAAATTCAGTTAATTCTTTTTGTGTCTCAGTATTTGTTTTTATCTACATATGTAAAACTAAACACATTATAAAACATCTCTTAAAATCTCTTGCTTTTTGCTGTTTATATTATTTTATTTTCTCGTTGTTATCTAAACTCATGTAACAATCTTTTTGTTTTAATTAGATGATTTTAGTATTTTAAACATCTGTACTCAACTAAGAAAATGATATTGATTTCACGACAATTTTGTTATCATTCTGTCATTAATAAATAACAATATCATTTATAAAAACAAAATAGGTCCTTAATCACGCTCACCTTGCTATCTGAAGTATTAGCTGCCTTCGAAGTTTTCTCGGTATCTCTCTTCATGATTGATTTCTTAGACTCAGTCAGATTTGACACCGTCTCGTTCTTGACGTCTTGTTTCTTGGACTCATTCTTGTCTCTTTTGAAGAGATTATGATAAGGCCCATCGGCGAAGATCGACGACGGTCGAGGAGCGGCGGGCAACCGTTGCTGCGTCGGCTGCGCGGGGAAGGGTGTCGTGAAAATATCGAAGTTCAAGGGCGGGAGCGGTTGTGAGGGTGATTCCGGAACCGGCGGTAATGCCGGATGACGGATAGTCAGGCCGTCTTGTACGATCTGAATCGGTGCCCCTGGATTGATCCTCACCTGGAACGTCGTTCGCACGCATGAAATATTCATGCTCAATTGAGCGTGACGGAGCGTAGGAGAAATAATACTTTGAACGCGGGAACTCAAGTGGGACGTCTTACATTTAAGAGCCATCGCGACAAGACGTGTGAAAAATGATCACATAGAAAGGACGATTTCGTTGAAGTATTTAAAAATTTAACATAAATGAATGAAGTAGTATTGTTCACTGTCAAATTGTACCCAATTTAAGTTGTTTTTAATTATTTCCATCCATAGTTGGCACTACTTCTTTTCAATATGTCGTTAATTTAATTAAAACAATGAATAATTTAATTGGAGAAAATGTCATCAAATTTGATTAAAATTTAGTTTGTTATTTATTAAGTATATGTTAATATATTGTTTACGTTGGAACTTAATACAAAAATAGATTAATTTATATTTTGGCACATATGGAAGTTACTTCCATAAAAACAACTCACAAAATTACTATTGCTCTTTTAGCTATAACAGTGCAGTTCAAGCAAATTGTGCGTCAATTGTATGTCGGTTTAAAATTTAGCTAAATATAGATCTGAAAATAATGTTGGATCTATCAAAATAATTATGTAGAACATTCAAGCTGATTACTAAAATGTCAAAACTTTATGCAGCGTTGCTCATCACGCTTGAGAAATTATTTTAACAATTCAATAAAATTTTTCAGATCTGTATCTATCTAAATTTTTTGATAATTCAACAAAATTGTTCTTTTCATGCGCG